CTCTCTCTCTCTCTCATATATATAATAGCATCCTGTAATTATACTGAACAGATGAGTAGATGATCATGCCTGTACACTTTAAAATACTTCATGTACTGTGATTGCATGTCTTTGTTTAATACCTACGAGAAGGTAACACCTCCCGAAACGAAAGCTGATAAAGTATCAGCTGTAGTTAGAGGAGGGGATAAGGTGTCTGCGCAATGCTAGGCGGTGTTGTCGTAGACGTGAGAAGTGAAAAGTACAGGTTCCAGCCCCGCTCGGGGAGGAAGTAAAGAAAAAGATCTGCTCTCACATTGTTAGGTTGATTTTCTAGACACCTCATATATCATACATATATTTATATATACAAATAAAATCATAATTTGATGTGACGGCATGGTAATTATATTATCATCCTTTACAACAGCCCAAACATAGATGATCTGAAAGATATACCATCCTACTTTCCATTATACATCATGCACTGTGTTACAGCCCTAGATAAAGTCGACGGGAAAAGGCATTACTCGACTATGGAAAGCTATAGTTTATATAGCCTAGTTGGTCGAGTGGTCTAGGGCGTTGGACACAGTACAGGCGGAGTTGCCACGATGTCACAGAAGCTAGGGTTCAAATCCCGCTGAGGGAAGAACAAAAATTTGCGAACGAATTGTTGGGCTAAATTTGAGACGAATTGATGTATATGATCAATTTAGACTTTGCAAATGAGTTAGAGCCTTTGTTGGCATGAAGAGACTAGATGAAGATGTTGTTCCACAAGGCCTAGCGTTGTCTAGTTTGCCCCCTTTTCAAAATCCTGGATTCACATCTGAATTCGGGCGAACGTTTTTTACTTAAGCAGTGAATGTTCATGTACAAACCTTTCCAATGTACATACATGTATCACTGGGACAGAAACACAAACTGTGTTACATAAATGTTACTTTAGTATAAGAATTAGGAGATGTCATATAAAATGAGACAATAATCCACCACAGACCAAATAAATTGGATGTAAGCAACTACATGTAACCAAACGTAGTTGTTCATCATTTGGGGGAAATGTACAGTCGTTTTTTGTTCGGTGTTTTTTTTTCAATCCAAAAAAAAATGCGATTAAGGATTTGAAATTCAGTCGGGATTTAAAATTATTTTCAATATTTAAAAAATCAAACAAAAAACATACTTAGACTTAAAATTGTCTCGATACAACGGAAGAATGTAAACCCAATGAAAAACCCGAACTTGTATACTTGAACATTGTAACATAAACCATAGATGTATAAACTATGCATAAACCAAGTAGAGGACGAGGTATTTTTTTACTCCCGTGCCCTCAAAATATTGTAACCAAAGGACAAGAACTTTATTATCCCATATCAATAACCAATTTTCCAATACAAATTTTCTCGGTACAACCAACCTGTTTATATGGGTATTGATAAAACGAAGACGATACATTTTTGTCCCTAATGGTTGATTTTTTTTTAATTTAATTTTGCTGAAAGAAAAAAATACCGCACATTTCAATACTGGTTTTTAACCATCCTCTACTTTGTAAAGGTGTTAATGATAAATATAAGATCTAGAGTTATTTCTCTTTCTCCAACAAGGTTGGCCTCTCTTCCACGCAAGTGATGTTATGATGACTTTTATGTTTTATTGTGTTGTCCCTAATTAACCTAATCAGAGAGGAGTGAAAAAAGAGTTCTATGAAAGTGTGAATGAACGTGTCAAAATTTGTTATGCCCGAAAGGGCCATGTGATTAGGAAAATAAAGAATTTGAATTTTTAGGTAATCGTTCACTCGATGGCAAGAAAATCAACTACATTTAAAAACTAGGAAAATTTGCTCATTTGTAAGAAATATACATTTAAAACCAGACCTATGCTTAATGAGAATATTTTTTTTTTTGCGTGATGTGTTACTTAATCGTATCTAGGGGTGTGGTGTGGGAGATTTATCCAACTAGACAAGAAGACATTACGAGAACAAAATGTGTGACCATATAGACATACTTGTTGTGATCTTTTAAAAGAACATGGGATTGGAACAGAAAAACCCAAATTAAAAGAACAACTGGAACTGACATTAATGGCAATTTCTTTTTATATATATATACACATTCAAATGTATAATTAATAATTTATTTATAATCAGTGAATTAATTGATATTGATATTAGTGTTATAATTGCTTTCTCAGAATAACAATCATGATAATAGTGCAACCACTAAGAGGACTGAGTTCGACATATGTTGTTTTTGTTTGTTTGTTTAAATACAAGAATATGTAAACACAATAAAATTACAAAACATAATTGACAAAACACTAGAACAGTACTGTATAATTTTACATTCTATTAAAAACCTTACGTACACATCACTTGTCCGTCCAGTCGTCGAATACTCTTCCCCTGTATGGGATCCGTACAAAAAGCAACACATCACTCAGGTTGAGCAGGTACAGCGTAAGGCAGCCAGGTTTGTCTTCAATGATTATAAAGACAGATCACCTGGAGCAGTTTCAAATTTAATTAAATCATTGGAATGGGAAAATTTAGAAATAAGAAGGAAAAAAGCTAGATTAACTATGCTATATAAAATAAATTGGGGGTTAGTGGAAGTTCCTAAGGACAATTTAACAATATCTGATAGACGTACTAGGGGGAAACATAAATTTAGGCAAATATCAACAAATAAAGATTTCTATAAATTTCCTTTTTATCCTCGCACTATTTCGGACTGGAACTCACTACCTGAAGCAATAGGTATGTCTGACACCCTGGAATCCTTCAAAAGTGGCATATCCACTCTAACATTTGAAGGATCCACAACAACTTATTAAACTACAAAGCCACTGTACATAATGTATATATGTTATTGTTAATGATTTTTCTTTGTCATATTATTTTTAAATTAAGTCCATATGTACATAGCACACAAGTTCCGGGAAGTTTTACACTCCGACCTAGGAGTCTACTCCCGTATTCGGAAGAAGAAGAAGATAACTTTTTTTAAGGTGGATGGGGGTTCTTAATTAAAATCCATAGATTTTTTTTAAATTTGTCAAAATGTAGTTTTTATCATGCTTTTTTCCCAAAATATAATAAAAAGTAAGGGTCACCGGACTTTTTTTCACGCTACAGGTTGTGCAAAATTGTCAGATTTTGTATAGATTATGCATGGAAAATCCAATTTTGTGTGATAAAAAGAAAACTCCACCATAAAATTTTAAGATAAAATGTGAGAAGATAGCTCTTCTTACATGCTTTCAGATACGGAAAGAAAAAATGGGGTCACCGGAATTGTTTTCTTGCTACATATTAAAATAGGTAAATTCACAAGACTTTCTATTATAAAAATTACTTTACCTGAGTTATCTCCCCTTATGTGGCAAGGTTGAGAAAAAAAATAGATCAAACAAAATATTGTGTTTTTTAGAAAATACAGCCGTAAATATGATAAAACACATAATTTTCTATATTAACATGAAAATTCTTACACATGAATTACATACTATTTCAAAATTTGAACATTTCATTAAAGATCTAGACCGATTGTTATCTGCTACTTCAAAATCTAAGATGGAGGAAGACACACCAGCCACCTTAAAAGTATTAAGTCATACTGAAATATTCATCATAACATCATGATTGTATCACTCAAATGTGAACAACAAAACTGGTACTCAATTGTATCCCGGTATTGTGAACGCCAAGTTCATTTGATAGTCAATGGATCGCAGTGGCGGATTTACCGGGGGCACAGGGGGAACGTGCCCCCCCCCCCCCAGTCCCGATCACCAAAAAAATTTCTAACATAATTTTATTGCTAATGAATCTGCTTATCTAGAGCGGAAATTAATCACAGCTTCATTTAACTTCTCAAACAGGCCGTTAATTAACACAACCTTCAACATGCGTGATTTATGACAACTTATCAGTGGGTGTGTAAATATTGATACCTGTGTGTAATGTCTCTTTGCAAAAGCTTTTATGTAAACTACGTGTACATGTTGATTGGAAAAGTACGAATATTTTTATTGGTTTTTAATACAATATTACAGATTAAGATTTAAAGATAGGTACAAATAGATGTTTAGTGTCAAGAATGTTGGTATATGGGATATGTCTTCATAACAGAATACTCACATTACCATTTCTTATGAAATTCAATGATTTTTTTTTCTCGAAACTGTCTTTTATGTGGCTTTCTTCAACAACAAAATATTTTTTTTTCAATATCATACGAGATTTATTTACCTGAATGTCGTATTTCCTATCCCTCTTGTTTTCAAAGGCAACCAACAATTTGTTTTAAAAAAGCCTCCCCCCTTTTAAAAAAAAATGAATTGGCATTGTATTAATCATCAATAAAATGCTATTGTATTAATATAATATCTACTTTATAACATAATCTGGGACTTTTATCTATTAGTCCAAGCATACAGTAAATTAATATATGAATATTTGTCTTGTTTCAATTGCCATGTATGAGGCTATGAATGGGTCACCATTTATGAGGATATGAAGGGGTTTACATATAAGAGAATAATGGGCAACAAAGTTAGATTAGGAGCGGGACCAAAAGCTGTACTGAGATAACAGAATAAAGAGATGATGAAATAAAAAGAATAGATTGATTGATTGTTGGTTGCTTAATGTCCAGTGGCAAATATTTCATGCATGTTTAGGACGAATATAATAGAGATCAAAGAATAAAGAATACAGTGAAATGGTGAAAAAATTAAAAGATATAGAAACGCTGATCTGACACCCCACCAGTGGGCACCACAACCATTGGTCCATTACCACCCGCACTTGCATATTTATACATCTCTAAACAAATATCTAATTTTTGTTTCATGGTGCCCCCCCCCCCCCCATCCAAGACATCGAGGTTCTGGATCCACCCCCTAGATCGTAATCAATATGAGTTGATTGTTGGATTAAAACAAAGTACGTTAACTCTATACAGAAAGCGAATATTTTTTTCCATAACCCGGAAGTACTTGGGAAGCATGGGAGAAAACTGACGTCATGATTTAGCAAGTCGGAACAAAAGATGAGCCGCCACAAAATATTTTGAAAAGATGCGTCACATTTAGAGCAAATTGTATGATCTGTTCAATTCATCCTTATTTCTAGGACGCGCATCCACAATAAGAAATGTCTAAAGTTCGCTGTAATTGCTGCCAGATTGAAATTTCAGGGTTCAGAGTACAGTGTACAGATTGTACAGACTTTGACCTTTGTTTACAGGTGAGTATGACGTCACTGGCGTGCCTATTTGATGCACATAATCTCTTTTGTTGGCCACAATTATCTTTTTCTTATAATTTAAAAACATACTATTTTTTGTTTCCTTTTTTTCAGTGCTATTCACTTGGTGCTGAGATTGGAGGTCATAAAAGAGTACATGAATACAAGTTGGTGGTATGTACATTTTGATTGGGGATACCCAGTGGAGATCCTACATCTATAAATAGAAATGTTTGAAATCCTTAGTTAATGTCCTGCATGAATCAATTTTATCATATATAACAAATGGACATTTCAATGAACAGAAACATATTTGTTATAATTTTCCACAATATAAATGGAACATTTTCCGAAAACAAAAATAAAATTTATAGGTTTATAATATGCTCAATGATGCTTGGGGGAGGGTTGAGATCTCACAAATCATGTGTAACCCTGCTGCATTTTTGCGCCTGTTCCAAGTCAGGAGCCTCTGGCCTTTGTTAGTCTTGTATATTTTTTAATTTTAGTTCATTTGTTTGTTTTGGAGTTTTAGTGTGATGTCCATTTTCACTGAACTAGTACACAATTTTATATAGGGGCCAGCTGAGGACGACCACCTCCAGTTGTGGGATTTTCTAGCTGCTTTGAAGACCCATTGGTGGCCTTCGGTTGTTGTTTGCTCTTTGGTTGGGTTGTTGTCTCTTTGACATATTCCCCATTTCCATTCTCAATTTTATATTTTACAAAGTTTGTCTTTAGTGCCGTGTGGAGACAGTAGAGTGCCTCCCCGTGCTTCAGGTTTATGCTCTTATAGTATACTAGTAAATGGAGTGTGTGTCCGAGCGAGAACATCTCTATGTTCATTACTTTAGGAATATTTATTTAAAACACTGTTTTCACTATTCAGCCCCATTCTACTATTAAGTCAGACGTTAGGCGCTACCCTGATATACCCTGTCTTTTTTTTCACCTCAAGTTTTGGTGTTAACGTATTTTGTCGGGTACTTAATGACGGATAGCGTTTGACGTCTTTAGCCGAACAGTTTTATCATGTTTACTTTATTATATTCCTGTGTGCTGGTTCATATTCTGGACGCCATTCTTTGCTCCTTTCAATTGGTAAAATTGATAACAAAAAAACAAATCATGAAACTTCGAAATGGAAAAATACTTAATACTAAACTCGTTCAAAGGGTACCTACACGTCTCAATCTTCAAAATCGATTATCTAAAAATACTACAGTCGCTAACATTTTTAATAACAAATATCAATGAAACTGATATCACTTGAAAAACTAACAGTATTATATATTTACTCACATGAAACAAACCGGGATGCAGTATTAAGTACGTAGGTGAAACTGGACGATATTTATCTAAACGCACGCAAGAACACGTTTATCGCTTTAAAAGACCCCATAAATTCAAAAGTATCATAAATTTATCAACACCTTAAGAAACACAATCATCCTTTTAAATATTTAACAGTGCAACCTTTAGAAGTAGTTAATAAGCAGCCTGGGGAATCTCATTCAAAATTTGTACGATCACGAAAAGTAATTGAATTAAACTGGATTAAAAAATAACAGACAGTCTATCCTCTCGGTCTTAATGACAATATCATGGGAATTGGTAATATATCTAGAACAGATTCTGTTAACATTTTGGATATAGTTTCTAAAACAGTTCGTAAAAACTGTTCTCATGGGCGTAGAATAAATCGCAATCAAAGAAAATTTCGTAATCAAAAATACAAATATTTTGGACCTAATTTCTATTTCTAAAAAAAAAGGTAGACATTATCTATTAACCAAGCTCTGTTCTTTGCCTGTTAATAAATTACATCAAATTTTGGAGGAATGTAACACAATTCCATATTGCAGTCCTAAGTATGAAATCGTCCAAATTATAATTGCATATTGTTATTCTAATTTGTTTCCCAAAATTGATTGCCCTGAAGATCACAAAAAACATTTTATTAAAATTAAATATGTCAATTTGTAAATATTGCCGGTACTTTTAATGATTATTCTGTTAAAGAACAAATTCCTGGCTATTTTGATAATACTGAACTCCCTCTTATTTGTTATGTTTACAAAAAATCTACCCGGAAATATGTCTTTAATTACAGCGAAGTGTGTAAAGATGTTAATATTAGGGACAATACACCTACATGTACCTCATGAAATTGCAGTAATTCTGAATACATCTATGGCCCAAATTCCCATGTTATAACAGGAGACCTTAACATCGTTCGTGACCGAGAGATGAAATCATTCCTCAGTAAAGGACCTAAATATCGTCCCCCGTCAATTGTTAATTGGAATGAGTGTCGTAACATCATCCACGACTCACTCCGTACTTACTGCTCTAAATGGATAAAACGAGAAAATGCTGACAAGAAATCATTAGATTCTTTTTTAATTCGGTAATGAACATAGTTGATATAGGTTTCAAAATTTTAAAGATCATTTCACTCCTAATGACAACCATATATATATAATAGCCCAATTTCTCATATCAAACATAAGCTAAAAGAAATCGCCACAGAATATGTTTTTGTCCCAGCTGATAAGGCTGCTAACAATATCATTATTATTGTTTGACGTAAATTTTACATTGAGGTTCTACAAAAGGAAATCAAGAATTCACCAACATTCCAACTGACTCCATTTTCGGAATATGACATCTGTAACAAACATAAAGTTTTATCTACCTCTTTACAAGCAAAACCAAATACAATGATAGTTCCAACTATGTACTGGTTTCCGAAGCTGCTCAAAACTCCTTACAAATATAGATTTATTTCGTCTTCAAGCCATTGTTCCACTACTAAACTATCTATTCTACTTACTAGTACACTTGGTACAATCAAAAACCTGGTAATAAATTGTTCAAATAAGGCCTTTGAAAAAAGTGGAATTAATTACTTTTGGAGTGTCAAAAATTCGTAGGAAGTACTTGATAAATTGCATGCTTATATTGGTGATTTCGAATCTGTTCAAAGTTTTGATTTTTCTACCCTATATACCACTTTGCCTCATAATCTTATCAAGAAAAAATTCACACACCTGATTAAATGGGCATTTGAAAAGTCTGAATGCGAATATATATGTTCAAACTCTTTTAATTCATTTTTAATTAACAACAAACAAAAGAACTATGTCAATTGGACCTGCTTTGATACTATAACTGCCCTTGAATTATTACTAGATAACATTTTTGTTCGCTATGGAGATTCCGTATATCATCAAGTTATCAGAATTCCCATGGGGACTAACTGTGCACCATTTATTGCGGACCTGTTTCTGTATTGTTATGAGTTACAATTTATGACTAAAATCAGCAAAGACCCATCGAAACAACATCTGATTCAAAAATTTAATAACACTTTTAGATATTTAGATGATACATTGGCTCTCAATAATTATGACTTCAGTATGTACACTAAAGAAATTTATCCTGCCGAACTGACTTTAAATAAAGCTAATACTACATGTAACAATGAACACAGCCCTTTCCTGGATCTTGATATCTGTATCTTTAACGGGAAGCTTGATACCAAAATTTATGATAAAAGAGATGATTTTTCATTTCCTATTGTTAATTATCCATTTTTAGATGGTGACGTTCCCTTGTCACCATCTTATGGTGTTTACATATCTCAACTTGTTCGATTCACTTGTGTATGTAACAACGTATTTGATTTCAACGAAAGAAATCTCTATATTACTGAAAAATTATTACACCAGGTTTTTCGATATCACAAACTAGTCAGAACATTTACTAAATTTTATCATCGGTACAAGGGCATCATTTGTAAATATAAATCAACATGCAGACATCTTATACGTTAAGGTATTTCACATCCAATATTTTATGGTAATATTCTTTACAAAGCACAAAAGTTAACCAAACCTTTAAACAGACTTATTCAGAAAGGATATAGTTATGATACTGTTGTCAAGTCTTTAAGGATTGCATATTTTGGTATTAATATTGATTCACTCATAGGGTCTTTGCATCGGAAATAAACACATTTATTCTAAAACCAGTTGTTGGCATGATACGTTTAATGTTCTTCTCATAAATTTTATGATGGTATGATACTTAACCCCTAACGGGAGGGATTGTACTTGATTTTCATATGATGAAGACATAATCTTTCAATCAGTTTGATTGAGGTCTGGAGCTGGCATGTCAGTAACTGCTAGTAGTACTTTGTTAATTTATGTAACGTTGTCATTTTACTTGGTTTCTTTGTTACCTTTGCTAACATCGGACTTGGATTTCTTTTAAACTGAGTTTTACTGTGCATATTACTATGTGTTTTTTTATTCTACATTGGCTAGAGGTATAGGGGAGGGTTGAGATCTCACAAAACATGTTTAACCCCGCCACATTTTTGTGCCTGTCCCAAGTCAGGAGCCTCTGGCCTTTGTTAGTCTTGTATGTTTATTAATTTTAGTTCATTTATTTGTTTTGGAGTATAGTGTGACGTTCATTTTCACTGAACTAGTACACAATTTTATATAGGGGCCAGCTGAGGACCACCTCCGGGTGCGGGATTTTCTCGCTGCGTTGACGACCCATTGGTGGCCTTCGGCTGTTGTCTGCTCTTTGGTTGGGTTGTTGTCTCTTTGACATATTCCCCATTTCCATTCTCAATTTTATTGGTGACTTGAAGTCAGTTGATGTAATAGACGACTTTTGAATTTGTGCACTTTCCCGTAAATTTGCTACGTCACAGTAAGACCTTTTTGTTTGATGTCGTTATTGACGCTGATTAACCTTGGGTCAACATGTGTAACTCATTCATTAAAAACAACTTGAGATAGGTGTATTGTCTATTGACATCATTATACAAGCGATTCTTACTGTGATGTAATAAAAAAAGCATTGTGACATCAGAACTGTACCTTAAAATTCATGAATGTGAAAGTCTATTGCAGTTACCCCATGGAAGGATCTCGCTTATACATGATCTTCCAACCAGTGCTTTTCCCATAAAATTTGTTGTCACAAAGCAAATATGTTCCATGAAGTGCTTTCCCCAGAATTACCCCAGGTCAACTTGGGCAGTTCATTCATGAAAGGGAAATTGGAATCTTGTGTAACAGAAGTTTGAAATCCCCAGATATTTCAACTAAATCAGACACTCAGTTAGTCAAAATGGCACTTCACTATATACATGTAGATGAGATTAACTTAAAATTATATTGTTTTAAGTTTAAAACACTTTTTAAATGTAAGAGAGATGCATTTTATTTATAAAATCCTTCATGGAGATATTGAGAAGTTGGCCAGAGTATTTGTAACATACATGTACATGTATGTATACGGGTTATGTTCTTATCATATATGTTATGATGGTATGATACTAAACCCCTAACGGGAAGGATTGTGCCTGATATTCATATGATGAAGACATAATCTTTCAATCAGTTTAATTGAAGTCTGGAGCTGGCATGTCAGTTAACTGCTAGTAGTCTGTTGTTATTTATGTATTATTGTCATTTTGGTTATTTTCTTTGGTTACATCTTCTGACATCAGACTCGGACTTCTCTTGAACTGAATTTTAATGTGCGTATTGTTATGCGTTTTCTTTTCTACATTGGCTAGAGGTATAGGGGGAGGGTTGAGATCTCAAAAAACATGTTTAACCCCGCCGCATTTTTGCGCCTGTCCCAAGTCAGGAGCCTCTAGCCTTTGTTAGTCTTGTATTATTTTTAATTTTAGTTTCTTGTGTACAATTTGGAGTTTAGTATGGCGTTCATTATCACTGAACTAGTATATGTATTTGTTTAGGGGCCAGCTGAAGGACGCCTCCGGGTGCGGGAATTTCTCGCTGCATTGAAGACCTGTTGGTGACCTTCTGCTGTTGTCTGTTCTATAGTCGGGTTGTTGTCTCTTTGACACATTCCCCATTTCCATTCTCAATTTTATTAGGATCCTTTTTAATCAAATGAATAATGGTAAAACATCTCAAGGACAGAACTGACATCAGATAATGTAATTTGATGACCTTTTCTGAAATCATTAACATATTGTAAAAGATATGAAAATGCACGACAAGACATACCACATACATTTCAAGGTTACAAAATTCATTAAAAAAAGACAGCAGCTAAAGGGTTCTCTGCCCCAAAAAGTTGTTTTCGAGGATCATTTGATTTCATGCTGTTAAGCATGTATCAAACCTGCATCCTGTCAATGCTTTTTCAATTACAATATATATATATATATATGGTGGTTAAGGTTATTTGCGAAATTATTTTTTTCATTGTAAGGTCTTGATTTCATACAAAAGATTTGACATAACAGTTAAATTGTGAAATTGTTTTTTTCAGAGTGACTACGTAGTAGGAGCTTTTGAACTTGATACACCATGGACTCTTGCAGAAGAAACAATGCTTTTAGATGCCGTGGAACAGTATGGATTTGGCAACTGGTAGGTAATCACTTTAACAACAGTTGTGCAATCCCTTTTCTTATGATAATCAGATATTCTCCAGTAATTTAGACCACTGTCCTGGTGGCATTTTTAGTAGTTGGTAGAGGTTCCAGATATGTAATTCATAAGATAATTGTAAAGACAAATAATAATTTACGGTTACTAAAGAAAAATCTTGTTCTGCTAATCTGCTGCACTGTATATATGTTCATTTAATATTCTTTTTAAAAGGTTGAAATGGTGGTAGATACTTGTTAACGAGTGTCTATTTCAATACTTTGTCACCTCTGAGTCTAGTGCAATTTTATTGTCATAAATGGATTTTTTCCTCGATCTGTATTTGTACATAGGTGTCGCATATTCTTTGTTTTTATCAACATTAGTAGTGTTGAAATTTACATTGTTCCACTGCAAAATTCTAGTTTCTAATCAAAGCTGATGTAACAAACCATAAATAAGATCATTTTAAGAAAATTTCAATGCTTAATATTGTATCTTAAGTTAAAAATTTCATTAAGGTTCCTTACAGATAAAAAAATCGACCAATTTAGTACTGATTGCGTAAATCAATTAATTTGAAAGCACATGTTTGAATTGCTAAAAAAATTTCTGTGTAATTTAATTTAAATTTAAATTTTTATACGCCCGTCAAATTTTTGACGGGACGTATTATGGTATACAAATGTCCGGCGTCCAGCCGTCTGTCTGTCCGGCGTAAACATGTCGCACCGTAACTTGAGAATGACTTATCCAAATTTCATGAAACTTAACATAGTTGTTTCTTATGATGGTCAAACGATCTGTATATTTTTTGGTGAAAATAAGATTAAAACTTTTTGAGTTACGGGACTTAGTAACTAAAACAGGTGTGTGTTTTTTTTCACATGTCGCGCCGTATCTCAAAAACAATTTATGATTATTGCTTAAAACTTTACACTCTTCTTAGTTATATTAATCTTAAGATCTGTATACTTTTTGGTGATGATTCAAAATTTTATTTTAGAGATATTGAGTATTTTGTTAAAAAAGGGGGAGGGGTTTTTCACATGTCGCGCCGTATCTCAAAAACAGTTATGATTATTGCTTAAAACATTACAGACTTCTTAGTTATATTAACCTTAAGATCTCTATACTTTTTGGTGATGATTCAAAATTTTATTTTTGAGTTATTGAGTATTTTGTAAAAAAAGGGGGAGGGGTTTTTCACATGTTGCGCCGTATCTCAAAAACGATTTATGATTATTGCTTAAAATTTTACACTTCTTAGTTATATTAATCTTAAGATCTGTATACTTTTTGGTTTTGATTCAAAATTTTATTTTAGAGATATTGAGTTTTTTGTAAAAAAAAAAGGGGGGGTTTTCGCATGTCACGCCGTATGTCAGAAACTATTTATGCTTATTGCATAAAAATTCACACACAAGACGATGGGGCGTATCATGCGCTCATGGCACAGCTGTTTATTAAGTTAAATTATCATAAGCATTTCCTGAAAAGTCAATGAATATAAATGCAATTAATCGTCTCTCTTCATCAAGTGTTCTCCTGTCAAGTGTATCGAACTACCTGTACACGTGATAAGTGATCGTAAGCCAGATCTCTCATGGCTTTAAAACAGTAACCAGGAGGACCCTTTGGATTATAATACAATAGGGGTTATCCAATTGATTATAATTATAATTGCTAACTAAATTGCAGCTAGAGAAGCGAAAACAAATTTTGACTACACCTATCAATCATAGTGCAGATATTTTAACAATGGTGAGATCATTTGACGTGGTGGAAGAGAATTTAAGAATGGTGGTTCGCCTTAAAAAAAAAACAGGTCATGGAGATATATGTATCAGATTTCAGAAAACAAGTTCTTACTGTTGTGATACTCACCTAGTCCCATTATTCACATTATTAAAAACCTCGCAATAATTTCCAAATTTACAGTATATGAACAAATGCTTATATCTTTTGCAGGGAGGATGTGGCAAATCATGTGGAAAAGAGAACTGCTGAAGGTATTTATTGAGAAAATGATAAAGCAGAAATTTTCGTTAAGGTTTTAATTTCTTTTATTCCATGGAGAGATATATTATACACAAATTTATATCCATATTACTAAAATGTAACCTACAAATACTTTCACAAGCTGGGATCCTAAAAAAACAATCCTCAAGAAATTCAATTTAGAGACAAAACCACAAAAAAAATATGGTATTTAACAGTTAAACATTTAAAACTCAGCTGTGTACAGGGGAGGGAAAAATAACGTATGTTTGATGTGTAAATTGGTTTCTTTGGTGATTTTTGTAATATACTTATGGCAACTTTTATGTCCTTTCTGGTGATTTGCATACTACATGTAGTGTGTTCTAGTGATTTGCAGACATTCTTTAAATAAAGCAAAACTGAAGAAAGGCAAAGAATTTGACATCATAATTAAATTCCTGTCAATCAAAAACTCAGAAAAAAATACAAGAGACCTACATTTTGTCATGTCAGGGGGTCTTTTATGACTGACTATAGAATATGGATTTTGCTCATTTTTGAAGGCTGTACAGTAGTTGATAGTCACTTAAACCCATTTTATTTGGATCTGTTGGATACTTGACTCATTGGCAATTATAGCTAATTTCCTTTTTACATGTAAACACATCGTTAATCACAAAATAAACAACATGTCAAAAAACTAAAATCCACAAAAATCTCGGGTAAATTGTTTATATGAACAAAAATGTAATATACTAATGAAAGATTTAGACAAGTCGAGTGTTAAATGCAAAGTTTAATTAAAAACAGTTCACTTTCATGTACATTTTGTTGGTACTTCATTTAAAATTAAATTTCTAGCCCCTTTGTCTGTTCATAAAACAATGTTTTCAGGAGTTGGAAGAAACTATTGACTGCCTGTCTGTTTTACTCAGCATCACACCCTCTCATCATACAAGATTAAAGTTATTATAACAAAAGAATTTAGTATGCTAAGCGGTGTATGAGAATTCCAACATTTAGACATTTCAAGACATTGCTGATATAAATCTATGATATTAGTTTCATAAAATCTGTCAAGAATTGTACATGAGAGAGCTAACAAGACCAGAGGGACAGATGTAGGGACGTTTGGTAATTTTATGTCCCCCCACAATGAGCTGTGCAAGGGACTAAAAAGCTATCATGTAGTGAAGGACTTGAAATGTCTAAATGTCAGAATTCTCATACACCGCTTAGCATACTAAGTTCTTTTGCTGATGCACAATATTTAAAAAAGATATGACCCTTGGAAACATTAATTATATGGAAAATTGCATTGGTAGCGCTTTCATTTGTACAATTCTTGCCAGATTTTTATGAAACTTATATTGTAGGTTTATTTCAGCAATGTCTTGGATGAGATTAAAAATCAGTACCGATCAATGATTTTCAAAAGAGTTGTGTCCCTTGGAATCATAAATTATATGGAAAATTGCATTGTTAGCACTCTCATGTGTACAATTCTTGCCGGATTTTTATGAAAGTTATATCATAGGCTTATATCAAGAATGTCTTGGACAAGTTTAAAAATCAGTGTCAACCAATTATTTTTTAAAGAGCTACATGTGTATGCCCTTGTAATATTAATTATATTGGAAATTGCATTGCATTGTCTCTCAAGCCTTCATTTCTGTCTGATATTAAGGTGGTACCAAACACCTTGACTAAATTAATTTGGCTCGTTTAATTTTCACAAAATTTTGACAAAATATTTACTTTGACCCTTTGACAAAAATATAAAAATTCCAAAAAACTTGAAACACACTTTATTAGAAAAAATTCATTGGATATATAGCAGTTTGACAAACACTAATTTTGATCATTGAGAAGATTAATATTTCCTCAATAATAGAATGTGATTCAAACGTTTAGCTGATTTTTACAGAGTTATCTCCCTGTAGTGTTATGCACCACCTAAATAAAAAGTTTGAAAGAAAAAAAAAAATTTTGTGTTTATGCCAATGGAACCATCGACAGATAATATATGTGCAAAACATGGAACATTTTTTTAATGTAATATTGTTGACTATTTTGCTTCTTCCTACATGTACCTCTGTTATTTTGAAAGAAAGCCTGAATGTAGAAGAAGTAAAGACTTATTTTACATCTCTCTGTCTCTCTATTAACATCAAACGCTTTGAAATTCCTAATTGTTAACTTTTACTGTGTTTACTATCTGAGTGTGAAGACTATTATGTAACAGTTTTTCTGTGTTTACTTTCAGAGTGTGAAGACCATTATGTAACATTTTTTCTGTGTTTACTTTCAGAGTGTGAAGACCATTATGTAACATTTTTTCTGTGTTTACTTTCAGAATGTGAATACCATTATGTAACAATTTTTCTGTGTTTACTTTCAGAGTGTGAAGACCATTATGTAACATTTTTTCTGTGTTTACTTTCAGAGTGTGAAGACCATTATGTAACATTTTTTCTGTGTTTACTTTCAGAGTGTGAAGACCATTATGTAACATTTTTTCTGTGTTTACTTTCAGAGTGTGAAGACCATTATGTAACATTTTTTGTATCAGGAAGTGTTGGAAAAGGTATTTGTTATTAGACATGATTTATTATTTATTTTATCTGCAAAAATAAATTTTCTACTGTATAAAAGCCCAGAATTGAAAATGAAACTGGTGATAGATAAGAAATAACTTAATGACTTCATGGCTAAAATAAGAGAAGAGTAGTCAGAATTGTAGAAAAAAAAGAAAAAAACAATAGTCACATTTATAGGAGACAGTACTTAGTTTAAATGTAAGGGTATGTGTTTTGTCTTTAGGGCTGATCACAACGTTTTTTTGAGGATTTCTTTGAACACTAACTTAAAATGTATCAGTAGTTTTAATTGCTAACTTGTTTCATTAAAGTGACACAATAGATGATAAATGTGTTGAAAATTGTTACTTTGTTCATTGACAAACTGATTTGTTGTAAATACACATTGTTCTCCCCAGGCCCTTAAAGGACGGTGGGCCCGCGATGTATAATTTTCTATCATGGTGGTATCGTTTTTGCCGCGATGTATAATTTTTCTCCGTGGTGCTAAAATTTTCGGTAAAGTTTAAAACGACTTGTTAATCCTTTTCCATGGAGTATAAAATTTCAAATGAAAGTTGACTAGTTCAAACCAGTTCAATCCAGTTCTGACAACTAGATTGTTTACACCACATGATCGATTTACCTTTTGAGATTGGATTTAATCAATGTACAAAGTTAAATCACAAAAATACTGAACTCTGAGGAAAATCCAAAACGGAAAGTCCCTAATCAAAGTGTACATGATTCTTTTGTGTTTTAATTAATTAAGAGATCATAATTAATGATCAGACTTGTAAGGGACAAGCAGACATTTGTTAATTAACAAAATGATTAACTCTATTAATCCAGCCTTTGGTCATAAATAATTTGCGTATTTTAAATGTGTTGAGTTACTTCCCCTGATTTAGCTTATTACAAATGTGTGCTCCTAAAATATTATCTATCATTGAAAATAGAAATAAAGTACAAATTGAATGCAAAATTATATAAGAATGTTACCTTAAGGATAAAAACTTTCTTTGAACATACCAACAAAAATATATTGCAAATTATTTTTGATAATCATACTTTCATAAATGCACAGACATACTATAATAATTGGTAGTATTTTCAAACCTGTATCTGATTTGTGATGAAGAAGACCCAGTCTTTAGACACTGATTGGAACTCAGCTAGATATGATAAATGGGTTTATAGATAGATAATTATAATTTTCTGCGTTTCGAAGTATAGAAGAAAATTATTGTACTAATGGTTCTTTCATATATATGTATGGACACGTGATATTAATTGTAGTATGACGTGAGTGGTCATTTTTCGCGGGTTAATTTCCCAATTAGACCATTCTCTCGCCAACTTCGAACTGGTCAAGTTCAGATATAATGTTGGTTCATTATTGTTTGATTCTTTCTTATTTTGTACTATATGTAGGTATATTGCTTAACAGTATACATTTTGTTGTATTTTGTTTATGTAAACATAAGCCAATTTTCAGTTCTGTCCAATGTACACCTCTCGAGACGATCTTCTGAGCATTAGGGTTTGGACACAGGTTTCTATATCGACTAAGGTAACTTGGTTGTTGGTTTTTCCTGGCCGGCGGGTTCGTTTATGACAGAGTAATTTTTTTCAATTCATATTGAAAGCTTGAATATTGTTTATATGTATATAGATATTATTTGCATAAAATTAGTATGTGTATTAATGATAGATTATAATAAAATCCGGTGTCCTTCTAGTCTTGTGGGCGATCGGCAATTGTAAAATTGTGTTTGAGATATTTTTGCCATGTATAAGTATAGTGTGTACTATAAATTTACTCTTCATGTCTGTCTACGGAGTAACACATTAAAGATTCTAATAATAATTTTATTGTTGTTTAAAAGAATCATGTCTAAAGCTATGGAAAATAGTTTTTAATTTACTAAAGGTTCTGCATTCAAATTTAATCTTGTTTAAATTTAATTGTTATGGTGTAATCTAACAAAAATGGGGAATGTGTAGTGTAACTACAAGTATCAGGACAAAATTGGCTTGATCAAAATATAAAAAATGACTTTAGTTTAAAGACTAATAGTGCTTTCTTTCATTTATTCTTACAGCCGATTTCATTGAGTGTGTAGGAAAAGGTAAAATCTTTGGTTAGCTTGCTTGCTAGCTAAATCGTGAAGTCATTAGGTTAGGTAAACTACCCTCATTTATGAGTAGACTAGTCCGACAGACAGATAGAATTGGTTATCTGTGGGACTAGTCTACTCATAAAGGAGGGTAGTTTACCTAACCTAATAATGACTTCACGGTTCAGCTAACAAGCAAGCTAACCAAAGATAATACCTATTCCTACACACTCAATGAAATCGGCTGTAAAAGAAATTAAAGTATACAAACTGTTTATTGATTTACTTCTTTTTTTACCAGTAATTTTTTGACCAAAAGTCTACATAACACAGTAAACAAAACAAAAGACAAAAAGGTAATGACACAAAAACTAACAAGAAAAAAAAGCGATGCAACTCGACACAACATATTGTACAAATCATTTTGACACGCGTTACCCTGGTGCTATCGAAAAATCCTGGGGAGAACACTGAATACATAGGCAATTTCAACAAGTTTAAAGGAATTGTAAACTAGTATTCTTCTTTAATTTTCAGTCACAATCAGACCAGATGCTGCAGACGCAATAAAAGATCATACATGTCCCAATGGAGGTATGTGCAAAGATAACATAGTTGATTCAGGATTTTTCACTATATGTGATGGTATTTGGCAAATTAATTGTAATGGTTATTTCAATCATTAATGAAAGTGAAATAGCGAAATAATAATTTTCTTTTAGCGTCCTGTTGGGTTCAATTTTTTCAAAATAAGCTGAGAAACATCACTGATTAATTATTCACTTGCAAGTAAATAATTCAACCTCATTGAATCCTTATTTGTGTGACCTTCAATTTAACCCCTTAGCTGAGATGTGTCACACATAAACGGCGTGTTCAGCTATTAAAAGGAAAAGGATGTCAACATTGAAAGTGAAACAAGAGTAAACCATTTGGTTGACTGATTTGATCCACAAAAACTCATTCTTATACAGGTAAAAACTATGATTAACTTACTTTTTTAATCTATTATATGAAATCAAACAGACCTAGAAAAATCCAATTGCATGTGTTCGCCATCTATTTATATCTATATTTTTTTTTATATCGGGTTATATGAATATGACCATCAGCAGTCTTCTGAGCAGTAGTGTTCTCCCCAGGGCTTTTTAAAGCACTTTGCTTCCCTGGTGCTATATTTTCTACCATGGTGCTATCTTGGATGATTTTATAATAGAATGTATTGGGGCCATGGTGCTATGTTTTTTGGAAAACCAGTGCTATGTTAATTTCCATGGTGCTATTTAAAAATTCTGGGGAGAACGCAGGGCCGAGGTCACTTTGATGGTTAATTATATGGCATCTAGACTGATATACACACGGAATGCTGATACATATTATTGAGCCCATGCAGTGTAAATTGTTTATTTTAGACTATTTATAATTTGGATATACGTTTTAGTATGTTATAAATAAAATATGAAAATTTGAGTGAAATCGGTGAACATGAATTTGACAGCTAATGCCCCTTTAAATGATATGTGAAGCTCAGATATTCAATTTTACAAAAAGATGTGTATTTGAATATACCATACTTGTCAAGGAAACTGTTTTATTAAAAAAAATACATAAGATGTGCATGGTGTATGCAACAGTTATCAAAATAGGTTCAACTACAAATGTACAATTATGAACAAAGGAAGATAACTCCAGTTCAAAGTATATATTAGGTTAAATGAAAGCAATCTTTGCCCTTCAGTGCTCCACAAGCACTTTAATTAGACTAAGGTGATTGAATGTTGACGCCGCTTGGGAAACTTACAATTCTATAAGATTTTAGTTGCACTTCATGATAACAATAGAATGGACTAAAATTTTAAAGGATATATTTATTGTAATGGGTCGCTAAAAAGGTTAGGAAGTAATTTTTAAATTGTAAAAAAAGTGTCCAATTTAAGTTTTGAAATTTAAAATACTCTGTGAAATATACTTTTAGCTGAAATATGAATTCACGAAGTTTTAAAGATAGATAAGACATTGAATCAAATCAATATGAAAATTAGATATTAGATTATCTCCACCTAGAAACTTATAGACAACACATACATTTTACTGTAAATAAAATGTTTTAATTTAGACTGATGTCTGATTCTTGTATATTTCTTAAAAGGAATAGTATGAAAACTTTAATAGTTAAGACATTTTTGTAGCTAAGCAGCTCAAAAATGACTACTTCTCATCTTTCAAATGACTCATTACAATAACAATATGTATAGCAATTTTTAGCAACACTCTAACATTAGCCATGAAGTGGAATTCAAATCTTATAGGATTGTAAGTATGGTTTATTCTATCACTTTGAAGACTTGAGTTTATTTCTTTTCAGCAGTTTATTAAATTTTCTGACCAGTTGAACAGTGTGATTTGATGAAACAAATTGCAATTTGGTCAGAATTTTGAAAAAAAACTGCAGTAGGTGGAAAGTGAACATTGATAATCAAGTCACAGTAAAAATGGTAAATTTATGAGATTGTCAGATATGTTAATGACAACTGAAAGGTATTATATCATTAAAAGCTCTAATCAGAATTTCTTATTTTTTTTTAGGTCCTTTGTCTCCAAGTATAACACAACCTGTATCACCTGTAGAACTTAGTCTTCCTGAACAACAAGAACTTGGATATATGCCTCTAAGGGATGATTTTGAAAGAGTGAGTTTTAGCATCTTTTTATGCCCCACCTAGGGGCATTATGTTTTTCCGTCTGTGCGTCTATCCGTTCGTCTGTCCCGCTTTTGGTTAAAGGTTTTTGGTCAAAGTAGTTTTTGATGAAGTTGAAGTCCAATCAACTTGAAACTTAGTACACATGTTCCCTATGATATGATCTTTCTAATTTTAATGCCAAATTAGAATTTTGACCCAAATTTCACTTTCAACTGAACATAGAAAATGATAGTTCGAGTAGGGCATCCATGTACTATGGACACATTCTTGTTCTTTGAATTTTACTGACCTTAGTTGTTCCTTTATCAGACATTGACTCTGTCATACAAAGTTTCATAGGATTTCGTACAAGTCCAAATCTGACTTTGCATCATCTGTACTCAGATGACTTTTGTACCCAGGGCAATTAACTGCATTTTAGAGGTTAAGATGTTTCACCTGCAGGACTGTTTACCTAACACAGGACACTCCCTTAAAGAATAGACAATATCATATCAAATCTGTTGCACCCTATGGTGACCCTTAGTGGTTAAAAGTATGTGTGACTTCTAATCATCACACTGTTGTAAATTTGATGTTGTAAATTTGATGTGTTTTCTTTACGATTACAAAATGTAACTATTTGGTAAGTATTTATTGAATTATTTATTAGATTGTTGTTTACTTAATTAATTCATGTAGTAAATTTATTATGGTATATAATTCCTATGACTATTTAGAAAGTTTAACATTCATCAGACAATGACCCACAAAGAATAAATTGTGTATAATTGTATTCTCATTTCGTAGATATTTTTCCCAGCAAGTACTCTTCACTGAGTTGACATCCCTTAAATTAAAGATTTATAGATGCTCTTAAAGACACTTATCTAACCTCAAAATTCCTTATCAAAATCATGAGTAGATTTTATGTACTCTAACCTCAAAATTCCTTATCAAAATCATGAGTAGATTTTATGCACGAGTCAATTTTGATAGAAAAAAACTATAAAACTTTTAACAACAACAGTTACTGTCGAACAATTTTTTTAAAAAATCATAAAAATGTCATTTTCTAGGATTTTTGTATTTATTTATTGTGACATTGCTGTCTTTATGGTGCAGCAAGTTTAATTTGTTTGTGTATTTTGAAGGAACACGACAATGATGCTGAAATTTTAATTAGTAGTTTAGCCAATAATTATGATGACGAAGACATTGATATAGGTGAGTATTACGGATATGGTGAATACTGTTACAGATAATACATGTACATTAATGAATAGATGTTGGTTCCTTCTATCAGGGGTTTGAAAAAATTCATGGTGAAGAAGTCAACAGAAATTCAAATTCAAATATCTTTAAAATTTTATACTAACACTTTACAGAATACTATTTCGGTTGAAATAATCATATGTATTTTCAGATGCATTTGATTAAAATACATTTTTATCCCCCTGCTGTAGGCAACGGGTCATTAAGTGTTACCTTTGACCTTCCGTCTGTCCCATTTTGGTTTCAACAATCTTATTCTCATGCAAATTTTATGCAACTCATACACAAAGCGTTCTAGAGTTGTGCCCCTTTTTAACTTTGAAAATCGGAAAGCATTGGGGGCATTCGTATCGTCAGACACATTCTTCTTATATTTTCATTAGATTTTTTATGCTTAGCACTTGCATGCAGGTTAAAAGACCCACACATTTTGAGGGGACCAAGTGGTTTTAAGTGTTTCATTTACAGTTATCTCAGGCCTGTCATCTATGAGGTCGTGAGTTCGAATCCTATTTGTGGCAAGGTATGTTGGACTCCAATCTTTATTGACATCTAGATTGCCAGTAAACCTGTCAAATGTCAGTCATGTCAGTGGTTCTCTCTGGATACTTTCATGTCCTCGACCAATGAAAAATTGAACGCCATAATAGAGCCAAAGTCGCTGAAAGTGGCCTTAAACAGCAACATACAAACACATCACTGACACTTGAAAGAAATGGTATTCATTAACCCATCACAAACATTGAATTTTCTCCCAAGTATTGAACTAAACAAAACAAAAATTGACTTGATACTTAAACTTATATCTTTAGTCAGTTTTCCCTGAATTGAAACAATCTGAAAAAAGTATAGAAAGTTTTATGAATCATGATGTTCAATGTTTTAATGCTTATTTTTTTCAGCGGTAAAACTTTCACAGGTAGAAAAGTACAGAACTAGATTAAAAGAAAGAGAAAGAAGAAAACGACTTGCGAGAGGATACAATCTTTTACAAAGTGCTACTACTATAGGGAAACAAAAATTTCAAACTCCAAAGAAAAGAATTCATAAAGAAGAAAGGTACAATATATTTTGATACCCTATTTATTGGTAACTAAATAAAGTCTGAAAGTTGTACAGATTATTTAGGTTGGAATTGAAATAAATATAAAATTTGAAACTTAATTAGAATGGTCCTCTAGATAAATATCATCCATTAGACTTGTTGACGTTCATTTCTTTTTGATCAATGCAAAAAAAAATTATTCAGTAGTATTAAAGATGCAGGTCAGATCTTTTCAACAGGTCCAAAATGTTCAACACAGGTTTGATCATTTCTGTCACATATTTTTGATGAAATAAGTTAATGGCTGCTACAACTGATGTAAGCGTTAAGTTTTTGACGAAATCATCTTGAAATCGTTAGGGTCGATCGGAAAATTGTAAACTCCCACCTATTTTATTTCCTCAGCCAGTGAATGATATATGGCAACAACTTGAGTACAATGATTTTTTTTACACTCTCCAAAGGAGAAGGATATACTGTTTTACCACTGTCTGTCTGTCGGTATGTCCATCAATCTTATGAAATTTATGATGAAATTTTTCTCAGGAACTTCAAATCAGAGCTACCTTAAATTTGTTACCATTCTTCATTACAGCATGCCATGCCGTGTGATGTGTTTTCAGGTTTATAGCTCATCAACTTCCTATTTATAGAATACTTATATTTTTTAAAGCATGATTGTCATGTATGAAATATTTGCCACATTTTTCAAGTGAACCACAAATAAGAGCTTCTTGAAATTTGTTGTCTGGCCTCATTTGAACATGATTTACCATGTAATATGTTTTCATCGTCTTGTTTAATTGTTATTTCTTTAAAGATATTTCTTGCTGCATTTATGTTTTGAATATTTTACAGAGAATTCCAAGATAAAATGAAGGTTTTTGCACAGTTCCATACCCTGTCTGAACATGAGACTTTTTTAGAAAATATACAAAGTAAGATTTATTTATTGTCATCGTAAAAAAAAGTGGCAAAGAAAATATAGTGGTTGATGTTTACTTGTGCAACTATTTGATTTTTGGGTAATAACAGAAATTGCTCAATTTATTTTAAATATGTACAATTGGCCAAATTTAAATGGTTTACAAATTTGCACCAAAGGGAGCACATCAGCAATTGCTATTTAACTGCAGAATTAATAGGGTTAAAATAAACAAACCCCACCACATTCTGTATGTGCCTGTCCCAAGTCAGGAGCCTGTAATTCAGTGGTTGTCGTTTGTTGTTGTAGATCATAATTGTTTTTCGTTCATTATTTTGTACATGAATCAGGTAGTTTTCTTGTTTGAATTGTTTTACATTTGTCATTTCAGGGCCTTTTATATCCGACTATGCGGTATGGGTTTTACTCATTGTTGAAGGCCGTACAGTGACCTATAGTTGTTGATTTCTGTGTCATTTGGTCTCTTGTGGAGAGTTGTCTCATTGGCAATCATTCCACGTCTTCTTATTTTTATGTATAATTTACGATATCGGATATGTTCCTTATGTCGTAACTACAATACCCTTCCCTTTTCACAAATGTGACCTACCGAATTAGACTATTTACCGGATTTGTAATAACATAAGCAACATGACGGGTGCCACATGTGGAGCAGGATCTGCTTACCATTCCGGAGCACCTGAGATCACCCCCAGTTTTTGGTGGGGTTCGTGTTGCTTAGTCTTTAGTTTTCTATGTTGTGTCATCTGTACTATTATTTGTCTGTTTGTCTTTTTATTTTCGGCCATGGCGTTGTCAGTTTGTTTTCGATCTATGAGTTTGACTGTCCCTCTGGTATCTTTCGTCCCTCTTTTACAGATACAACAGTTTTATAGAATAAGATGTAAATCTTTCCCTTGAAATCATTTATATCAACAGTACATGTATGATTGTATAAAAACTGATAAATAGGAAACTTAATTAATTTGTTTTGTTTAACCTTGATTTTTGAAATCACACCTTTCATCATGTTCATTGTAATAGTTCAGAAGACCACAGTCTTTGAGTATTTAGGGCCCAGCCGAATGGCGGCCGCCCTATAGTGATCAATCTGTCCGTCCGTAACAAATCGTGTCCGCTCTATATCTAGAGAACAGTTATGATTTCAAACTTTATACTTGACATGTATATTAACCAACACCAGAGGGTGTGTCATAATGTATGTTCAACTTCCTAGGTCAAAGGTCAAGGTCAACAACTTTGGTTTTAGTTGACAACCCCATGTCCTATGGTAAAGATCGTGTCCGCTCTATATCTTGAGAACCGTTATGATTTCAAAGTTTATACTTGGTATGTATATAAACCAACGCCAGAGGGTGTGTCATAATTTATGTACAACTTCCTAGGTGAAAGGTCAAGGTCAAAAACTTTGGTTTCATTTGACAACCCATGTCCAATGATAAAGATACAAATTTTTTACCACACATTATTCAAAGCGGGGCCCACAGAGATGGCTTCCATCTCAATGATATCTAGTTGTCTCACCAGTCGCTACTTGTAATTGGGATATTTCATAAGCATGGTTTTAAATACCCAATTGTTAAAGGAACTTAGTTAGATTTATGTTTTAAGGATGAGTATATTCATCTTGTTAAGGCATTGTGGATAGATGGCACATAATAGAGAACAGAACAGTCTTAAAATTATGAACTTTTTTCTGTCAAATGTTGTAAAAGAGAGAGGCAGAGGATACCAAAGGGATTCTCAAACTCATATAAGTCAAAACAATTTGCAATGCCGTAGCAAAAAACAAACAACAGTCTACAAAACAAAACATAGAAATTAAAGACTACGCAACATGAATCCCACCAAAAAACTGGGGTTGATCTAAGGTACATGTGGCACCTGTCATGTTGCTCATGTAAGTACAATTTTGGAGATAAGATTGGTGAGGTCACGTTCAATGAAAAGAGGATGGGAATACAGTAACAACATATACTTACTTATTGCCCTGGATTCCTTTGGCATCTGTGTTGATGTTGACTAGCCTCTGCCACATAATTTCGCCTCTGTGTCATTCTAGGTATTCCTCTCTTTTACCTTCTGGGGTCCAGTGTAGTGCCTTCTTAGTGATATCCCTTTCTCTTTCCGTAGGACATGTCCAATCCACCGCCAGCGCCTTCTCATTATAGAAGTGGCTATATATTCTTGTTGGCGTCTGGTGAGAAGGTTCTAGTTTGAGTTTTTTTTTGTGGTAAAAAAAATCGCAAGATTCATAACAACATATGGAACATAAGAAAAGTTTGAGTTACATGTAGGTGCATTGAAACATGATGAATTAATTTGAACAAAAGCAGATACCCTTACTAATGTGGCACTTGATTAAAAAAATCAGTTTACGATCTATTTTCATTTTAGAAGAGAAAGATCTGAAAGAAAGAATACAAGAATTATTGAAATACAGAAAACATGGTATTACCAAACTAGATGGTATGTAAAAATGTTGCCACTTAAAATTAAGAATGTTTCCATCTCCAGCTGAGGGAGGAACATGTTTTTTTTTTTTTACTGTTTTCTTATGTTTGCTTCATTGTGGGGTATTTTCTATTAGTGTAGGAGGGGTCACCGTTATTACAAAGCAAACACATAAACATAGAACTAAAATTTCTTTCCATACACTTAAAAAAAACTGGTGGTATGCAAATGATATTTCACAACATATATATATATATATATATATATACATATAGTTTTGTGGTATACAGCAACATTTCATGCTTGAATGACTTTATTATATTGTTATTTAGGTCAATTTCTGACAAGTTATTGTACTTGGTTCATTATATTTCATGACTTTAGTCATGTTAGTCCTCATACTTTTAAATTATGTTTTGGTCACTATGACCTACATTTTATGGTTGATTGATTTTTAGTAATATTTTGAGTTTGTCTCGTGAGTGTAATTGTTTAGATTATGGTGGAAAATAGTTGTTAAAAAATAATCTTGACTTATTGAGCATGTAGTTTTTTAAGTGATTATGCCATTTTTGCCTTGTCTTACATGTTCCTTCAAATTTCTGGTTTCTGTATAGTTGTTTGCAATTTTGCGTGCATGAATAATTCACATTCAAGTTAACACTTATCTAGCTGTAGCCCTTTAAAATGCATGTACTTTCACTTGATTTGATAAGTTTTGTAAAACAAAATTAACATAATCATGAAGATGTAGGGGTGAAAAGGAAAGTTTAGGCAAATGCACAAAACAGAAAATGAAAAATCCTGACACAACTTTTGTACCAGACATTTTTTGCCCAATGGTAAAGCACTAAAATAGATAGGATTGTTTATACAATTTCAACTTTTTAAGGTTTATCATTGTCCGTCTGTACGTATGTCCTGAAATTTGTTTCCAGTCTTTATCTTTAGTTTGTGTCAACCAAACGTCATTAAACCTATACACAATGCTTCTTACCTCCATACACAGTTCATTTCAAATTTATGGGGCATCACTTTTACTGTTCGAGATGTTATGTCCCTTTATAAATGGAAAAATTGCTTTAGTCTGTCGTTTACACAATCTAACTTACTTTGCCTCAACCAAATGTTATGCAACTTATACACAATGCCTATTACCACCAAACACAGATCAAGTTGGAATTTTGGTGGCCTCACTTTCACTGAACTTGTCGTATTAACCAAATGTTATTAAACCTATACACAATGCTTCTTACCTCCATACACAGTTCATTTCAAATTTATGGGGCATCACTTTTACCGTTCGAGATGTTATGTCACTTTATAAATGGAAAAGTTGCTGAATTTGCCGTTTCCACACTCTTACTCTACTTTGCCTCATCCAAATGTTAAAAACTTGTACACAATACTTATTATCGCCTAACACTGATCAAGTTTGAATTTGGGTGGTGTCACTTTCACTGAATTTGTCGTAGATATACAAGCTGTGCATCGTGTGCCCATGGACACATTCTTTTTTACTTCGTTTGTTACGGTTATTTGAGATGTTGAAGTTATATTTGTTTGCATGTGTTTCTAATTAGTTCATGCTATATCTATATTCCCTGTCAAAACATTCCATATTTTTAACATTCATGCTATGAACTGAAGCAGCAATGAATCAAGCTCGGGTCCTTTTTGTTATCAATTAGACCCATTGGAAATTATAGGGTTATTGAATACAGGAAAAAATCAAATATCAAGTTTGTTTTACTGTATTTCATTTGAAACAGTTTTGGTTTTCATTTCAGTAAAGGAAGACAAAATAGAATGCATGTTCAATCTGGGTTAAGGCACAATCACTTTTAAACAAATTTAACGAAACGAAATCGAAGGTCAAAGTTTGGTATTATTCTGTTTACTAAATTTCCGGATTTGAACAAGGTAACCGTTTCTTGTCAAAAATAAAATGCATGGAATAGTTTGATGATTGAAACCATGGCAACGGCTTTGTGTGGGAGAGGTGCATGGTTTAATTTCTTCTTTGTACTACTTCAGATATTGACGTATTTGAAGATGAAAAGTACAAAAGAGATAAAAAGAAAGAGAATAAAAAGAAAATGGTGAGCATCATTTTTCTTTCATGCCACTTTGACCTTTGAACATTTTAAATGCACTTTGTTGACATTGCATATTGTAAACCAACTTTTTTCCACTACTTTTTTATGGGAATATTGATGTATGTGAAGTTCATGCCATTTATTTTTTCCATTGTATTGATAGAATATTGCAATATGTTTTGGGTTTTTTTCATTCACAGAGAGTAATTTGATGTTGTTCTTTATTTATGCAAGCAAATTCTACGAAAAAAGGAACTGCTTGCAAATAAAAGTTGGTTTACAGTAGTTGCTTCATCTTTTACAGACTGAAGAAAATTTAAGTGAAAAACTGCTACCATCAGATGCACACACACAAAGTTTAACACATTGAACTTGATTATCACAATGCCATTTAATCATCATCACTTCTGTCATTAAATTATAGAAGACAATATTTCATTTATCTTGTTTTTATTATTGCCCATATGAGGCCTTGTGGTCATAAAAATTTCTAGTTCAAGTATTGTACTTACATTCAGAAATCAACCGATCAAAATGCTGGATTTGGATTATGTTCTTCAAATACTGAGTAAAGTTTAATGACTGTAATTCAAGATGTAAAAGAATTCTTAAAACTCACCTAGAGAAGTCCAGACCTTGTGGTCATAAAAACTTAGAATTCAACCAATCAAAATGCTGGATTTGGTGTGTTGAGCACACATTTTGTACTGTGAATACTGAGTTAAGTTTTATGACTAGGCCCAGAACTCATAATTTCATTTTAGACTCAACTAAAAGTTTTGATGTTGAGAAAAAAATTAGAGGAAATGGGGAATAGTTTTGTTCTGATGATCTTTCCATAAAACTTCTACTGTACCTTTGCAGATCTTTACAGGTTAAAATCACATTGCCAATACTTGGGTTTACATCAAATATATATTTGAAAATATCAGTTGTTTGCATACTTTTGGTGATATGTATTTAAGATTTGTATTTTGTATATGTTTTCATATTCTTGAAATCTAAAAAAAGCCTTTTTATGTATTTTTTACAGGGAAATATCACTCCTTTATCAAAAAGAAGTTCAATGGCTTCAAAAAAGGCCGCCGTCGCTACAGAGTAAGTTGCAGTTTTGCTTGATATCTTATTTTATAAAAATGTCATGTATGATGAGTAATTTCTAGTCGCTATATTTCGTCAGTGATTCACTTTTTTTTTTAGATTATACTAAAATACTACATTTAGAGATAGAACAATACTGAGTTAAAAGATATCATTGATATCACAGATATTAAAAAGCATGTGTTAGTGTTTTTCACAATTTATTATCATTCAAAATTGATTGCGTGGTGGCTGCTTAGTTTGCACAAAGACATATCAATCTACAAACATGTACTTGGATACATTGTTTCCCACTCAGAGCTGAACCTATATGCCACTAACCTGGGGGAGAAGCAGCAAATACCCCAAAAAGTGTTCTTCAGTTAGACCCAGTTGAGATTAAACCTATGACTTAAGGATGTTCACTCCTCTGTTTCAAAATAACAAGCTAATTAAAAGACTGTTATAAATTGAAAGTATGTCAATAGTTCAACTTAAAAATGACAGGTTGGTGTCCTTGTTTTTTATACGCCCGTTTACGGGACGTATTATGGTATACTGTTGACCGTCTGTCCGTCCATCCGTCCCTCGTCAACATGTCGGACATTAACTCAAAAAAGCTTTAACCAATATGCATGAAACTTTGGTGAATTGTTTATATCTATTGACGTGAGCTCCCTTTGGTTTTTTATAAATTTCAGATTTACCGTTTCTGAGTTTTGGGGTTTTATTGTCGAGCCTGCGACTTTTGTCGCAGAAAGCTCGACATAGGGATAGTGATGCGGCGGCGGCGGCGTTAGCTAACTTCTTAAAAGCTTTATATTTTAGAAGGTGGAAGGTCTGGATGCTTCATACTTTGTATATGGATGCCTCATGTTACGAAGTTTCCGTCAGTCACATGTCCAATGTCCTTGACCTCATTTTCAAGGTTCAGTGACTACTTGAAAAAAAAGTTAAGATTTTTTGTAATGTTAGATTCTCTCTTATTATAAGTAATAGGATAACTCTATTTGGTATGTGCGTACCTTGCAAGGTCCTCATGCCCGTCAGACAGTTTTCACTTGACCTCGACCTCATTTCATGGATCAGTGAACAAGGTTAAGTTTTGGTGGTCAAGTCCATATCTCAGATACTATAAGCAATAGGTCTAGTATATTCGGTGTATGGAAGGACTGTAAGGTGTACATGCCCAACTGGCAGGTGTCATCTGACCTTGACCTCATTTTCATGGTTCAGTGGTTATAGTTAAGTTTTTGTGTTTTGGTCTGTTTTTCCTATACTGTATGCCATAGGTCTACTATATTTGGTGTATGGAATGATTGTAAGGTGTACATGTCTAGCGGGCAGGTGTCATCTGACCTTGACCTCATTTTCATGGTTCAGTGGTCAAAGTTAAGTTTTTGAGTTTTGGTCTTTTTTTCTAATACTATATGCAATAGTTCAACTATATTTGGTATGTGCGTACCTTGCAAGGTCCTCATGCCCGTCAGACAGTTTTCACTTGACCTCGACCTCATTTCATGGATCAGTGAACAAGGTTAAGTTTTGGTGGTCAAGTCCATATCTCAGATACTATAAGCAATAGGTCTAGTATATTCGGTGTATGGAAGGACTGTAAGGTGTACATGTCCAACTGGCAGGTGTCATCTGACCTTGACCTCATTTTCATGGTTCAGTGGTTATAGTTAAGTTTTTGTGTTTTGGTCTGTTTTTCTTATACTGTATGCAATAGGCCTACTATAGTTGGTGTATGGAATGATTGTAAGGTGTACATGTCTAGCGGGCAGGTGTCATCTGACCTTGACCTCATTTTCATGGTTCAGTGGTCAAAGTTAAGTTTTTGAGTTTTGGTCTTTTTTTCTAATACTATATGCAATAGTTCAACTATATTTGGTGTATGGAAATATTTTATGATCTATTTGTCAGTCACACAGTTTTTTTTTTACCTTGACCTCTTTTTCAAGGTTCATTGCTCAGTGTTAAGTTTTTGTGTTTTGGTCTGTTTTTCTTAAACTAAAAGCAATAGGTCAACTATATTTGTTGTATGGAAGAATTGTTAGCTGTACATGCCTGCCTAGCATGGTTCATCTGACCTTGACCTCATTTTCATGGTTCATTGGTCAATGTTTAGTTAACTTGGTTAATAATAAGTTTATGTGACAGTTGTAATAAAGCTTTATATTTAGGACTATCAACATAATAGCAATGATAAGTAAAGAAGGCGAGACATTTCAGTGTGTGCACTCTTGTTCATTAAAAAAGGGGTGATTTTCCAGTTTTCCGACAATAACTCAAGAATGCTTTCGCCAACCTGCAAGAAATTTTGGTGAATTGTTTATATCTATTGACATGAGCTCCTTTTTGATACTTATAAATTTTAGATTTTACGTTTCCGAGTTACAGGGTTTTATTCATTAAAAAAGAGCGGATTTTCCAGTTTTTGGACAATAACTCAAAAATGCTTTCAGCAGTTCTCATGAAACTTTGGTGGATTATTTATAGCTATTGATGTAATCTCCCTATTGATTTTCATAAATTTCAAATATGACATTGAGAAGAAATTGAACTTTATTTGTTTATAGTCTGACAACAGATTTACTAAGTATTGCGCAACAGCACAGTGTATTGCACAACAGCAAGAAATCTTTAATTGAATATGAATTCAATTCATATAACCAATTTCAAGTTCTTTGACTACATTTATTCAGAAACCTATAATATGTCAAATATTTAATTACAATCCAAATTCAGACCTGTATCAAGCTTGAATATTGTGTCCATTTTTGCCCCAATTGTTCAGGGTTGGACCTCTACGGGCATATCCAGCTGCGCTCAGCGAAGCAGTTTATTGAGATATAACCTATTGGAAATTTGGCAGGAAATGATTCTCTCTAGATTTTTCATACATTAAACATTGGCACCTTTTTTTTCTAAAACATTGAAAAAATAAGGATTTTCAAGAACTATATGTTATAAAGTTATGAAAAGAAAAGTAGGGGTTCGCGGGTAAAATTTTCATTGGCACTACATGGATAAAATCTGAATATCTGACAAAAAGTCTAAAACAAGAGTAGCGATCATCCTTAACACTCTTGACAAGCATGCTCCCACGAGTCCAGGACACTTGTTATCAACTACAGATCTCCTGTTTAGTTTGAAAACATCTGTCAATGAAGTGAAATGTTTAATCATGCCTTACACAAGGCATTGTAGAAATAATATATGTAAATATTGTGTATATATGTCTATTGGTATATTTTAGATATAGAAATTTCTGTGTGCATATAATATTGCTATTGTTGATTACTTAGAAAAGATACATACAAGATTAATTAATTAATGGGACATTACAAAATACAGTTTACAAAAAATGCAAGTTCTTATTACTATATTTCAAAAAATAGTTGTATCAGTCTTTGGAATTTGTAATTCTGGAGTTATGGGACTTGATTCTGAAAAAAAATTATGTTACTATTTTCATAGGCTCATTATGTGTTTATGCTGCACCTTTAGATTAGATAACAGAAGACCATCAACATTTTCTGGAAACTAGAGTTATATACTGTCAACTGGTTCTAAACAGAAAGTAAATTCTAAAAAGTGTTGGTGTGAGATTCAAGAAATGTTACAGTCTTCCAATTAAAAGTTTTAACATTTGAAATGTAACTTGTCTTAATTTTGAATCACAGATGAATAATGTATTTATTATGTTCCTATATCAGTTTATGTCAATAATGATAAGTTGTGTTGCATTAATGAAAATCAAAATAAATGACACAAAAAATTTGCCATTTCAGAGAAAAATTAGATATACTTATAGACGAAGACGAATTAAAAGATGAAAATAATGAGAATATTCCTAAGGAGGCATGCAATATGCCAGGATTTGACATGTTGTCAGACCGAGAAAGAAGGGTAAGCCTATAGATTATATTAGTTACATAAGGAATGGAAATAGTAAATTGAAACTTTTTGCAAAACATATGGTTTGGCAATTTCATTAAAATGATTGTTGACTTGTACAACCCTATAAAATTACAAAAGAGAAACGTTCATTCTTATCATTAATTTATAATCTACAACCACAAAATTGCTAGCTATATCAAACTTTCATTTGTTTTGCATTGTTTTGTTATCATGGGAGGCACATGCTGTCATGAATGTTGCATTTTATTGATGGAGAAAATATAATTTTGGAATGGCCCACGATTGCTGTCAGCCAATCAAGTAAGGACACTTATAAACCATGCATGCAGTGTAATGAAATAGTTTAAAAACGATATTTATTTTTACATTTACAGCTTTGCAGCTCAATTGGAATGACATATGCCAACTACCAAACTATCAAAACATGCATAATAAAGGTAAGATACAATACAAATGTTAAAAGTGGAATGAATAATACCAATTTGTGGGTTTATTGTCTCGCCTTGAGAGGGTAAAAAAGCGAGACATAGGTATGCTGTTTCTGGCGGAGGGCGGCTGCGGCAACAATGTATTAGTTTGTGATTAGGTCTAGTTCATGGGGAACCACTAGTGGTAGGTCAAAGATATTTGGTATGCAGTTGTATAAGCATTAGCACATCTCATTTCCATGGAGAATATTTGGTCCTTACCCCTCAGTCATGGTCTTTTGACTTTGAAACTTTTGCTTAGTTTACATGTATTAGTTTGTGATTAGGTCAGTTTAAGATGAACCACTAATGTTAAGTCAATGATATTCGGTATACAAATGTATTGGCATTTGCAAGTTTAATTTCCATGGAGATTATATAACCCCACCCCCTAATTATGGTTAAATGACTTTGAAACTTTTACATACTTTACAAGTTAATGTTTGTGTTTAGGTTTGTTTAAAGGGAACGACTTAACAAAAGTCAATGGTATTTGGTTTGCAGTTGTATTAGAATTGGCACATCTCATTTCCATGGAGATTGTTTAGCCCTGTACCTTCAGTCATGGTTCATTGACTTTGAATATTTGCATAACTTACATGTTAAAGTATTGCTATTTTAATTTCAACATTTGCATTATCAAAATAACAAATAGGCAAGACATATCTCTGTGTTAACAGTTTATAATAAAGTAGCAACCCATTTCACAAGAAACAACATTTGAGGTCAACATGCAGTCTAAACAGACAAAAAAGAAAAGACGATACTAACTTACTTGGACAATCAAAAACAATTCACAAAAAAAACAAAAAAAACTTAACATTGACAAAAAGACAACTGATTGTTTAGCCCTGTACCTTCAGTCATGGTTCATTGACTTTGAATATTTGCATAACTTACATGTTAAAGTATTGCTATTTTAATTTCAACATTTGCATTATCAAAATAACAAATAGGCAAGACATATCTCTGTGTTAACAGTTTATAATAAAGTAGCAACCCATTTCACAAGAAACAACATTTGAGGTCAACATGCAGTCTAAACAGACAAAAAAGAAAAGACGATACTAACTTACTTGGACAATCAAAAACAATTCACAAAAAAAACAAAAAAAACTTAACATTGACAAAAAGACAACTGATTGTTTAGCCCTGTACCTACAGTCATGGTTCATTGACTTTGAATATTTGCATAACTTACATGTTAAAGTATTGCTATTTTAATTTCAACATTTGCATTATCAAAATAACAAATAGGCAAGACATATCTCTGTGTTAACAGTTTATAATAAAGTAGCAACCCATTTCACAAGAAACAACATTTGAGGTCAACATGCAGTCTAAACAGACAAAAAAGATAAGAAGATACTAACTTACTTGGACAATCAAAAACAATTCACAAAATAAAAAAAAACTTAACATTGACAAAAAGACAACTGATGAGACTCTTTACTTGGGACAGGCATATAATTATGGGCAGGGTTAAATTGGTCTGAGATCTCAACATTCCAGATTTGTTTACTTAAGTTAACTAAATTGGCACTATTTTATTTTGTCTCCGTAAATTAGCAAAATAAATTTAATGATTAATAAAGTTGCAACTTACTTTAATATGAGGAATGGTTTTATAAAAATTTTCTAGAATGTGAAAAAATAAGTGTGGATTTCAAAATACCCATCTTCTTAATAGTGCAGAATCAGGATTTCAATCAAATTATTTTTACAGGATTATTTACAGAGAAGGCAAGGTATTCCTATAAAAATCCGCTACCCAAGTGGATTAGACAAGACACACCGGAGACAGATTATCAGTTTTCTGACAGACAATGGGTGGATAGGTGTTACTTGAGAGATGAAGAGAGTAGATTTCACCAAAGAAATTTATGCTACTTTCATATATTGTTCAAAGCAATATAAGACTTGATGAAAGGCTAGAGTTATACTTCTAGGGGCCATAGGTCATTTAGTGTCGTTCACTAGTTCGATAAATGACAATGCTGAAATGTCATAGATATTGCCGTCCACACAGTTCTGAAGTGATTGGTTGATTGAAGAGAAAAGTTCACATTTACCATATTTAAATGGAAAGATAAATGTGCAGAGTGCACAACAGTTATTTACCGCTAAAAGTGTTCAATGGGAGGGGTCATGGGGTCATTATATCAAATATTCTTTTCTCATGTGATTATAGAGACAATCTTCTGATATGTATCTGCATATGAATCTCCTTTTAAGGAGGACTGCCATGCTATATAGGTTTGAAAGATTGTTGAGCAGTGCCAAACAATCTCATTATATTTATTTACACAACAAAAGTTACAAGGTCAATTTTATAATTTCTTTCTCTTTTAATTTGTGTTCTTTAAGGATGGTATTCAGTATTTTGCATTTGTTTGTGTTTTGTTAGGAGTATGGATAGCACAGTATTTAATTATGTTTTAAGGGCTGTTCAAGAAAAAAATATATGTGTGTGGGGGGGGGGAGGTCTTTTGAATTTACAAGCACTAAGATGAAGTCTGAAAAAGAAAATATTTTAATAAGATAGATAGTTTGTCAACTTTTGTCTATGAACATAAAAAAATCCAGAATTTGCAATCGCACATAAAATCTTGGAATTTGATAAATTAACAACTAAACCAGGGGGGTATACACTTACAGAGATGATTATTTTGTGTGTATGTTTGTATTTATGATTGTTTGATTGTGTATTCTAGTCCCCAAGTTAGATTTGAAAAATCTCCAGTAAGTGCTGTATTTGATATATAATCATCAAAATTACTATTTTTTTGTTAATATCTGACTGTTCATAAGAGATAATTTATTAGATATTATTTATGTAATTAGTTATAATTTATTTATTTTATGACATTGTTTTAATTTAGTTTTTATGTTGGTGATAAAAAAAAAAGAGATTTTTACCTTGTACAGCGTATGTTGTGAATTTCTTGTGAGAAAATGAGTAGTTGTGTATTTGCAAAAACACGAATGCATAATCAAAATTGGTTTTAAAGTTTTATTATATATATATTATATATATAACTATCATTCTAAATTTGCAGATATTAGTATGATGTCAATATTTCAAGAAGTGAAGCATCTTTGAGTTTTCAAGACTAAATATATTTTCATTTCTTGTCTGGCGCATTACTTATCTGTTAATAGACCCAACTTTAGGACCATTTTAATTTTGAAAAAGTAAAGAAAGTGTTTGAATGCGTCATACCATGCATATATAATTTTGGCATAAAATAAAATATGAAACAAACATTTTAAGAAAATTTTTAATGGTTTTCAGATGATTTTATTTTAAGGCAAAATCAATCAACATAAAATTCAATACTGGGCTTGATGTAATTCAATTTTGTTCTGCTGCATTTGTCTGGTAGCAATCATTTAGAAGTTGGCATTTTATTGATGTGGAGGCAGAAAGGCAGCTGTTCATTTTATACCATTTAATTTTATTTTCATGAATATATATGACTTGATCAGTGTTCACTCAACCATTTCATACAGCATCCTGATAAACAGGTAATTTTGAAATACTATTTTGTTTCTAGAAAATACAGCATCACATCCCACAATCAGAAAATCATTTCAGATAGCATGAGATTCATTCAATATAGCATCATATTACCATTATGCTAATAATCGCTATGGAGAACACTGACTCCTTCATTTAATGAAATTCCTACTTATTAAAGGTAGATCAGGTGTCTTCCGCCATCTTGGATTGTTTAGTAGCAGAACACAATGGGTCTTGATCTTAAAATTTTTTTTTTTTTTTTATAAAAATTACAAATTTTGAAAGAGAAATCTTATTCATTTTTTATCGGACTTTTCATATGACTAAAGAAAATTATGTGCATTATCTTATAACAATCGTTTAAAAAATACGGAACATTAGTGTGGTTCAATTTTTTTTGAACTATGCCGTATTAGGGGAGATAAGTTGTATGATTTTTACTTTTATGAAGGAATGTGAAGGGAATTTACCTATTTTGTTTTGTAGGAAGAAAAACGAGACCCTTGAACCCAATATTTATTTTTATTTTTTGGAAGCACATTATAAGATTTGTCTTCTCGTATGTAATCTTAAATTCTATCTTTTAGTTTTCATTCTAATACGCAAAATTATTTTTTTCTTTGTATAATCTATACAAAATCTCCCAATGTGTACAATGGTTGAAAAGAAAGCTCCTTAACCCATACATAATATTATATTGTTTTTAAAAACATGATAAAAACTACATTTTGGCAATTTATTAAAAAATTCTATCATTTTTCATTTAGACCATTGATCTACCTTAACAGAGGAAACCATATACAAGTTAAAAGTGCAATGATAACTATGCATTTAAAAAATCATAACCTCTATAACATATTGGTGTATTGGAATTTATTTTTGTGATCTTGTAAGAAAATGACAAACAGTACCTTGGTTTCTGTATTGTGATCTTAGTAATGAAAGTGGCCTATACATTACGGATTTGAAATGAAAGTGATGTGTATTTTCTTTGTATAGGTAAGGCCACACCAATTTGATTTGTAGTACTTCGGACAAAAGCTCCAAAAAATATGGGGCGAGCGAGCGAAATTTTTTTTATTCTATTTTTTTCTTGAAAATGAGTTTTTTATGAGGTGAGTGCTCTTCAAGTGAAGCGAGTGGTGTAATTTTTTTTTTTTTTTTTTGTGATTTAGAATTTATGTACATGTTATAACTGGGTTACCTTCATAGAAAAACCAGGAGAAATATGCTCTAATGCATATAATTTTGATTAATTGGTGCCTGTACCATACCCCAACTTTCTTGTCTCACTGTGGTTTAGATATTTTGATTATTTTCGTCAAATAAGCTTTGCATGAATTTTCATTTTAATCCATATATGTATATATATTAAGGAAGCATAGCAGATGCAGTTTTACAAGAGGAATAGACCACTTTCGAGTTTGTCCGTCACCGGAAAAAACTCGTCAATTATGCGCGCCTTTATGACGTCATTTACCAGATAGAGGGGATCGCCTGTATCCCTGCACTATAAACATTCATCAAGCGTCTTAGTGATCGTCATTGTGCAGGATAAACTAGAAATAATATTCGTTCTGTAGGTACTTAATCACAATTCCCTAATGACAGCAGTGCTTAAAGACAATTATGACAAATCAATTTGCCGAATAATACGTGCAATATAACATTATAGTTTTCCAACCACACGCTCAACATTGGAACGGAAGTGATGACGCCTCTAAACGCACGAATGATGTTTACTAAAACCAAAGTTTTTGACGGAAATGCATCGAACTCGAAAGTTGTCTATTATGTTAGTTCGGTAACTAACATATGTTGAATAAAATTAAAATATGTGTATGTATCCAAAAAAATGTCCCTGATAGATATTAAATATTTTTTTATACAGTTGTTTTAATTATATGGTAATGATTGTTTATTGGATGCTTGACATCCAGTTGGATCTATTTATCCATATTTAGGATCAACATAATGAGTGAGGTGAATATTTCTTGCTTTGTACTAAAACAACATCCTGAGTAAGATAGTTATATTGCTTTGCATGTAGATCTCAATGTGTTAAAATATTCCCTTAAAATACATGTCACCACATTCACATGCATTATTCTGACTGAGCAAAATACTCTTTCCTTTTGCTCTTAAAAGCTACAATGCATTTAAAACTATTTAGCTTGACTGGAAGTGGTTTAATTAATTACACATCCCGAATTATTATAAGCATGCCAATCACAATACCACCACCTTGGTCTTCTGCTTCTGCCGTTTGGTGGCCGCCATCATTTCTGATTATTCTGCCAGTTTCTCCTTTGTCTCGAACGTTGGAACGTTTTAAATTTCCCCTTACAAAAGAGTTCTGCATGCATGCCAATAGACTAATGAGGGGATATGGGGTTTCATCAAAATAAAATAATTCTGTGATTTTTAAAATGTTCAGGGGAATTTACAATTAATTTCATCAAAGATAGATCAAGATAGATAGGTCTATACCCTATTGAAACAGCTCGGGGATGACGATGGTTCTAACAAATATTGATGTAATCGTGGTCATCTAAGGAAAGATTTTTAATTTTTGCCTCCTAGAACAGGTCTTCAAAGGTAAAAGAAGATGCATTTTGGACCACTGTGGGTTCAATTACTACATGTCCACGGCAATGAGCTGACACAACTGCATGTTAGCATCCTGATTTTTGACCTTTTATTTATAAATTGATTTATCACACGTGCGTTTGAATCAATCGGAGTAAATAATGCAATAGAAAACGTCTATGTGAGAGAAAAAAATTTCAAGGATAAACTATTTTGGAGCGGCATGCAGACCAAAAATTAGCGGAAGCGGTAATTATTTTTTTTTTTCGAAAAGTCAATTTCTCCAAAACAGGAGCGGAAAAATCCAAAGAACTATTAATAAAATTGGTGTGGCCTAATTGTGATCTTTTTTTTTATTGAAAATGACATATTGAGTGTTGAACCTGTTTTATGATCTTGTAATGAAAGTGAGATATATGTTATAATATACTTTATATAAAAGTGATAAATAGTTTCTTTGAAACTGCATTATGGAAGGACTAAATTATTGTTCAAATGTGTTTGTAGTTATGATGTCTTGAAAGTGTACAGATGTGTCTAGATGTAGTAAATATGTGTTTGTGTGATATTGTTTTTTCTATGTGAGATACGAATAAAAGGAAAATAAAAATACAAGTACTACAAGTATTTTTTTTTATTATCTGGATTAAAAACTATAATCAGTAAATCCACAAATTGGATGAATGAAATACCGAAGATTCTTTATTTTAAGAATTACCACATTAAACAATAAAATTGAGAATGGAAATGGGGAATATGTCAAAGAGACAACAACCCAACCAAAGAGCAGACAACAGCCGAAGGCCACCAATGGGTCTAAAATGCAGCAAGAAAATCTTGCACCCGGAGGTGGCCTCGAGCTGGCCCCTAAAAATTGTGTGCAAGTTCAGTGAAAATGGACTTCACACTTAACTCCAAAACATATAAATGAACTAAAATTAAAAAACATACTAGACTAACAAAGGCCAGAGGCTCCTGACTTGGGATAGGCGCAAAAATGTGGCGGGGTTAAACATGTTTTGTGAGATCTCAACCCTCCCACTATACCTCTAGCCAATGTAGAAAAAAGAAACACATAGCAATACGCACAGTAAAACTCAGTTTAAAAGAAGTCAGAATAGGTAACAAAAGAAACTAAGCAAAATGACAATGATACATAAATTAACAAAGGACTACTAGCAGTTACTGACATGCCAGCTCCAGACCTCAATTAAACTGATTGAAAGATGTATTACAGTCCCAAAAAAGCACCTTAAAATCCAATTAAGGGAATACATAACACCTATTTAAATTCAACCATGGAAGTATTGTACTGACAGGAACTCCCAATGATTTATTAGCACTTATTTATAACCTGGGGAGCGCTGTAGAAAAGATGTGGAAACTGTCAAATGAGTACGCTATCATTAATTTCCTGTTGTGGCTATCTGGGATGACGCCGTCATAAATTGACCATTGATACTTCTTTTCAATGATGTTGTTTTTATCAAGACAGTTTAATACTAATACCTTTCGGAAAAACATGTTCGCTTATATCAATCACATCAGATGACCTTAAGTCATAAACAACTTATTACATCACATGAAAATTCCAGTTGTAGTAGTTCCTGTCAATATAATACTTCCATGATTCAACAGTGTTTTAGAGGCATCGTGAAAATAAAGGCATCCTCAAATCAACAAATTTTCAAAGCAGCCTGTTTCTGCCTTTTTGATACATTTATATATTATATAAAATGTATTAGCTTAAATTTAATGTCATTTTTAATAATGTTAAGTTGGTTTGTAATGTTTTTGTGGATAAACATAACAATTGGAGACGAACCATAATTTTCCTGACCACTGGACATTATTTCAACAACAACTCAACATTTCCCTTTCCACTGGACATTTTTTTACTACCAATTTCTTCTGGCCACTTGACAATAATCAAACAACAAATTATCAGTTTCCTGACGGATGGACCTTAAGCAAACACTTTCTAAAGTGAAAATATATAGATGATTCTGAACAGCTTTTTTGTTAGATTTTGGCGAATTTTAAGTATTTCTTCTTCCAGATAAGGTACCAGATTCAAAACTGAATGTAATTGGTTCCGTATTTATATGAATAAACAGAAAATTTTAATCCATACCTAAATTCTATTTAGAATAATGCTAAGCATGGTCTTTTATATACAAATTAATTGTATCCTCAAAATAATTAAGGGGATGACATGCTTTTGGGAAGTGGGATAGAGGGGTAAAATAAAGTGAAGATGTGGGATATAGGACATGAAAAAGTGGGGATGTGGAGGTATAAAAAGAGAGATGAAAAATAAAGTGGAAAAAAATTACCAAAAAACGGGATTTGGGAAATGAGCACCCCCTCTCGTTCGAAATAAAAACATCTTTAATATATATATATATATGAAATTTCATTACATTTTCCCCAGCAAATCATAGCTTCTTGATATATGGCACTTATCTTCATCTTTTTTCCGTGCTGTGTGACATGTTTTCATTTCCTTAGATGTTCTTAAAATATCATGCCAACATGTGAAATTTTCGTCACATTCGGTGTGAGTTAAATAAGTTGGCAATAGCTCAGTTTATATCTTGATCGGATTTCGGATTGACCTGACCTTTACCCCATTAAAGGATCAGTGATTAACGTTTAGTTTTCATGGTTAGGTCTGTTTCTGAGATCATGACCATAAGCAAAATGTCAACTATATTTGATGAATTGAACGATTGTAAAGTGTACATGTCCCTGTGGACCAGTCCATCCGACCATGTTCTCATTTCATGGTTCATTGGTCAGCGTCCAGTTCTTGTGATCAGGTATCTTGTTTCTTGGTTATCAATATATTTTTAACTTTTATTCATAAACAAGCTTCGCCTACCACAGTTGATGCAAATGAACATTGTTGGCTCTATCATAAATAAGCAGACTGTACATGTAACATAAAATATAATGCCCCATGAAATATTGTCCGTTGAACAAAATTTCTGTGGACAATATTTTATGATGGAATACTGTCGAGGGCAATATTTCATTATGAAATAGTGTCCTCTCTAAGATTTTTTTTTCATTCCTTATCAAAGTTTGTCTTCCCTGATGAATCTATGCCATGAAATTGTGAGAGTGTTTCTGAAATATTTGGAATATCGTTCTCGAAAATTATGTGTATAACAGTGAAATGCTGTATTAAAAAATTCTCATCTATAGTATACAAGCATGATGAATGCACATGTTACTTTCAATAAAATAAAATACTTAAATGGTATCATTATCCAAAACATTATTTTTTATAACCTTCCTTTTCACAAGACAAAATTCCATGACGCTATCCATTAAATATTGTCTCAATTTACTTAAAATGTAACTTTGGATAACTTCCCTTTAATGATATTGTCCTCGGGAATTTTTTTCATCCTCTCTTTAATGATTTTGTCCTTCTCAGGAATTTTTTTCATAGATTGGGACAAAAAATGAAAACAACACGTTATATAAATTGTATGCGTCCGAAGCGCTTTTCTGGATTTACCTTCATCAGGAACGCTCATAGCCAAATATTTGAAGGCCAAGGATTTATAAGAACCGAAACAATTGCAGCGCTATATGACCAAAATATATTACAATACACAATCATAGGACAATATTTTGCTTTACATACAGTTCTAACAGTGGACTCAGTGTATAACTATCATTCTATGTTGTCTGAAGGTGGAATTTCTCTTCAAAAAAGGAAATGCGATAAACAGCTCACCTGCATTAATCACAGATTTCAGGAGCATTATTATGCTGTAAATATTGTTACTTTTATATTTCGTACATACTTACACCAGAAACTTAGTACACATGTCAGTATAATGTGAACTTTTAAAATTATATGCATAATTACATTTTTTTTACCGATTTCACGGTTCACTGATGAGGAAATGATAGTGCGAGCAGTGCACTGTGTCATGTAGACGAGCATTCTGTTCCTTCTAATGCAGTATTTGTGACTTACATTTTTGTATTATCATGCATCATGCTATAATTTTTACATCACCTTAACTGTTTTTATGTAATATCTGTCAGCGGGTTTTTGACGTGTTACAAGTGCGAAAGTATGTGACAGGGTTATATATTTAGTAGTGTAACTAGGTTAACTAGTTCAGTTAAAAACTGTCTAAATCCCGCCAAGTGTTCATGTGTCTGTTGTGTCCCAATTTAGAACTTCGTCGGTGGTTGTCTGCATAGACGCGTGAGGACAGGATCCTGTGTTGATCCCCCATAATCCCTCCCTTTTCATTATCATAAATCCCCGATTTTCCAATATATCCCAGTTATTTGTACTATACCAATACCAATATACCATATTTTATACATGTTTACTATCAACTTGCCACTCGACTATAGAGCGCATTGATAGTAAACATGTATATTCAGAGTAAAAATATGGCATATTGGTATTGATATAGTACAAATAACTGATATATATATATATATATATTGGAAAATCGGGGATTTATGATAATAAAGGTGAGGGATTATGAGGCTCAACACAGGATCCTGTCCTCGCGCACCTTTATGGTTGTCTGTTGTCGTATATATTGGTGCTATTTGTTGTAACTTGGAGAATTTGGTGCTGATTGCAGATCTTTGATAGTCTCAATACAATTTATTTTAAAACAACATGTTTTAGACTCGGGACGATTTAGAGCTTGGCTTATCATAAATTCCCCTTTTTGGCTGCTGTCTTATTGACGTATACACCAAACCTCTTCGTTCACAACAATATTAATACAGAACAAGAAATATGCTTACACAAAACGTTGAAACAATTGTAAAAATCCACTGAAATCGATTTCACCAATCTAAACAGTACTGAGGACAAAAACATAGATATGATATGATGAAGACATACTCTTTCAATCAGTTTAATTGAGGTCTGGAGCTGGCATGTCAGTAACTGCTCCAAGTCCTTTGTTAATTTATATATCATTGTCATTTTGCTTAGTTTCTTTTGTTACCTATTCGAACATAGGACTCGGACTTCTTTTAAACTGAGTTTTACTGTGAGTATTGCTGTGTGTTTGTTTATTCTACATTGGCTAGAGTTATAGGGGGATAGGGGGGAGTTGAGATCACACAAAACATGTTTAACCACGCCGTATTTTTGCGCCTGTCCCAAGTCAGGAGCCTCTGGCCTTTGTTAGTCTTTTATGTTTTTTAATTTAGTTTATTTATATGTTTCGGAGTTTAGTGTGACGTCCATTTTCACTGAACTTGTACACATTTTTGTTTAGGGGCCAGCTGAAGCCGCCTCTGGGTGCGGGATTTTCTCGCTGTGTTGAAGATCCATTGGTGGCCTTCGGCTGTTTTCTGCTTTTCTGCGGGTTGTTGTCTCTTTGACACATTCCCCATTTCCATTCTCAATTTTTTTTTATATCAAGACTAGATGTACGCACAGTTTTAAAGTACTGAAAGCATTGAGGTGTAGGATAGAACCTCATTGTTGAACGTTAGTTTTAATATCAGTTCAGAAGGACTTAGATTTCAATCAGTACGGTTCTAAAATGATTAATAGTAAAAAGTAAAGAAAATAAACAAAGAAAAGTATGTCCTTGTGTATAATAAATGCCTGGTAGTTA